AGTCTGAATAACAATCAAATGCACTAATGAATGTAAAATTCTGAACTCCGGGCCCGGCACCCATCATCGTACTATCACCCTGGGCCGTGAGCGGGGGTGAAGGCCTGCGGGAGTGCACCTGTGTGTCCAGCCACCACTATTTGGGTAAAGGGGAAGACAATCAAATACCTGAGCTAGCTTGGGACAGGGGTAATTTTTAGAGAAACAGAGGTTCAAGTTACCTTATTTAAAAAAAAAAATAGGGATCTGAAGACTCAAAGTCCAGTGACTCAATGAAATGAAATTTAACAACAGTTACGAAGAGCTCTCGGGTGTCCCACCCTATGCTGGACACGGAGTGGTGGGGGGCTAGAGAGAGGCCCAGGCGCAGGGGGAAGGTTGGGCTCTGACAGGACGTGCATCCTGCCTGCAGCCTTCTGACTTCTCTCCGTCCTCATGGCCACCCAGGGAGATGGGCCTTAGAATCCCATTCGGCAGATGAGGAAACAGAGGCTCAGGGAGGTAAAGTGACTTACCTGTACCACCTGTGATGGAGACAGAATTTTAACCCAGTCTGTCTACCCCCCAAAGCTCCTAGCACCCCCTCGCCCCCGCTTTGAGATTTGTCACCAAGAATCCACCCATGACTGTGTGCGTGCCCGCGCCCACGCCCACACGACGGGGTTGCTGGCAGGAGGGTAGAACTGACAGGTCAGAGCAACTTCTGACCTCACGTTGTTGTGACTTAAAGAAAAACAGGAGGGAGTGCAAAGCTGAGAACAGAAGTCACAAACATTCCCCCCCAACACACACGCACACGCACACGCACACACACACTGGGCTTATTTTTGGATTCTGGGCTGAATTATTAATTTCATAAGGTTTTCTCTTGTCATTTTAGTTGGCAGATGAGCATTGGTTCTTCAGCCGCTCTTTATCCTTTGAGCACCAGAGGCTCCTCCGTGCCTGAGACAGTGCCAGCCCTGTGAGGCTGGAAAAATCTCTTGCAGCCACAGCACAGGGTGGGCCAGACCACCAGCCGCCTATCCCCCGCTGGGCCCCCGTGGGCCAGACCCTCTCAGCAGGGGTCCCACCTCCTCCTGCCCTGGCCCTGACTCTGACGTCATCTCTGCTCCCCTCCTTCCCACCCTCCCCCTTCCACACATGCATGGCAACCCACCTCCTCTCTCCTGACACTTCCTCTGCCCTAGTTTCTAGGACGTGGTCCGTGCAGCCATCTGCACTTAGTGCGCCCCCACTTCTCTGACCTCCCCAGAACGAGCAAAGGCTTTGAGGTCAGAGTCGGGTGGATTCGACTGCCACTTACTAGCTCTGTGACCCTGGGCAAGTTACCGAGCCCAGCTATGCCTCAGTTCCCGCATCTGTGACATGGGATCAGAAGGTTCTTGTGGGGACTCAGATCGTGTTTGGAAGACATTCGTATAAGTATTATTGTGTGAAGTTGCGTGTTGTGTGAAGGAAGGCTTCAAGGCGGAGGTGACATCTGAGCGGGGTTTTGATGGATGGAGTCTACTTGCTAGGCAGGGAGGTATGAAACAGCCCAGCATGCTGGGAGGAGCAGAAGTGGCTTCCAGTTGCTGGGAAGTCAGAAGCAGCTAAAGAGGAGGGCAGGAAGCAGATTTCAGAGATCAAGTCAGCAGTTCCCCAGCCAGCCTGCCCTCGTTCCAAGCCACTCAGCTGTCACTAACACCTGACGGCTCTGCAGGCCCTCACCGCAGGACCTTCGCACACACCACGCCCCTGCTGGGAGTGCCCTCACCTCATTCCTGCCAGTACACTCCTGCTCCTTCCGGAAGCTTCTGTCACTCACTTGTGCTGAAAGGAAGCGTCCCTTCTCTGAAACTCCGTCACTGCCATTCTACCCCCCGGACCTGGACTGCAGACTCCAATATCTGGAGAGCTGACACACAGGAGGTGTTCAATAAATGTTAAGATGCTGAGCACCTGCCTCTCACACATGCCCAGAATTTGCCAGTTTATGGGCACTTTCACCCCATGATTTGATTGGAGGCAGAGATCACTATTGTTAACATTCATGAAGCAGATGCCAAGACCAGAGACGAAAAGTGACTTGTCCAAAGCCACACAGCAAAATGATAAAAGAGCTAGGTGTTTGAACCCAGGCCTTCTGCTCTAACTACAGTGAAATCATCACTGTTACCCCCAATATGGCCATTTCTTGAGCATCTACTCTGGCCAGGTGCTTCAGAGGCATGATCTCTTCCAATTCTCAGGTGACAAAATGGAGGCTCCAAATCCCCAACCTTCTCCTGTGATGGGGGGGCTGACTACAGCTGTGCTGTCCAGACTCAAGGATAGCACGGAGTCTGGTGCTGGGCCACCTCACACCTGAAGCAGTCAGTTCCTTCCCTGAAGACCTGGGCAGTACCCTGCTTGACACTGTCCTCTGGGAGGCCACTCACAGTGGGGGTTGGGTGGGGGTTGGCCCCCACCATGGCTAGGCTGACCAGCGGCGATGGCAGGAAGAGAGATGCTGGACTCTGTTTGATCCCTATGCCCAAACCTCTGCCTCCACGCTCACCTCCTCCAGGTAGCCTTCCCCCCTGAGAGCAGGAAGGGACCTTGTGGACCATTCCCCTCTCTGCCCCCATTTCACAGGGTGGGAAACCACAGCCCAGAAGGGAAGGCCCAGGAGGTCTCCTGGCTCCTAGCTCAGGACCCCTTAGGCCCTGCTCTGCTGCTGGGACCACACTCAATACACACTATGCTGTCCATGCCTCCTGCTGAGGGCAGCAGGCATTCAGGGCCTCGGGCTCAGGCTTTAAAACAGAACACCTGGGTCCCTGTGGGCCCTGTGGGATGGCCACAGCTACCCCCCCCACCCCACCGAGGCAGTGGAGGCTCCACCAGCCCAGGTGAGGTGGGCGTTGTGTCCGATTTGCTGGCTCTTTGCACACTCTTTTCCAAGTGCTTTCCAAATATGAGCTCTTCATTATGACATCAACCAACTGAGAATGCCCCCCTCTTACAGCGGAGGGAGCCCAGGACATAGGTACCATTATTATCCCCATTTTACAGGGAGGGAAATGGAAGCTCTGTGATGCTAAGGATGGACTGCAGGTGAGAGTGTGGGGGGGAGGGGGTTGGGATTTGGACCTGGACTGTCTGACCCAGAGTCTCCCGTCTTAACCTCTACCCTGCGATGCTCTCTTGAACTCAAGTCTGTGCCCTCCACCCCGCATTCCCTGAGGTCTGGACTCCACATTTCCTCTCTGAAGGTGGAAAAGGCTTTGGGTGGGGAAAGGCTCCAAGGGAGTGTACAGAGGTTTTATGATTGAAGCCCTGTATGAAGGCTTGTTGTTATTTAGATATCACGAATCTAAGCCATTATAAAACATCATGGTTATCAGCTAAACCTGCCTTCACGGAAAAGTCACCGTACCTCTCTGAACTGTGGTTTCCTTCTCTGTAACAGGAGAATAAGGCCCTCTGTCATCCAATGCAGGTAACCTTTGAGATGGCTCCCAGTGATCCCCATATCCTGGTATTCATGTCCTTGTGTAGTCCCATCCCTTTGAGTGTGAGCTAGACCTAGTGACTCACGTCTAGTGAACAGAATATAGCAAAAGTGATGGGATGCCCATGTGGCAAAGGACCTGAGGGGGGCTTCTGGCCAACAGCCAGTGAGGAACTGAATCCTGTCCATAGCCATGCGAGTGAGCTTGGAAGCAGGTCCTCCCCCAGCTGAGCAAGGCTTCAGATGAGAACACAGCCCAGAGGCATCCAGCTGAGTCATGCCTGGATTCTTGATCCACAAAAACTACGAGATAATAAATGCTGCTAAGTTTTGGAGGGTGTCTGTTAATGCAGCTATAGGCAACTAATATACTTGGTGTTTTTCTACTCAGTGCCAGGCCCTATTCTGCCCATACAAGTATTTAAGATACATTTATTGAGCGCCACTGTGTGCCAGGCACAGTGCCCAGTATAGAGTTTGCAGCGATAAACCAGACATGTTATCCCCACTCTCAAAGACCTCAAGGCTGAATTAAGGAGACAGATTTGTGAACGGACAGTATGAGCAGTGCTGTGGGAGCCCAGGGCAGGCACCTGACCCAGCCTGCAGAATTCAGAGGAGGCTTCCTGGAGGAGGGGATGCCTGAGACAAACCCAAGACTGGGGAGAACCTCCCAGTCAAAGGTGGAGCAGAAGGGCATCATAGAAAGAGGCCAAGAGAGTGGCAAGGTGCGCTGTAAGGAGCCTTGCCCACTGGGGGGGCACAGGGAAGCAGGCTGTGGCAAAAGCATGGCTGGAAGGGGGTACGTGGCAGAGAGAGAGCAGAGAGGAAGAGCATGGAGGGTCTCAGGTGCCCACCAGAGAGCCTTGGACTTATCTGCCAGGCAGTGGGGAGTTACCAGGGGTGTAAGCAGCTCAGGGTCGTGGCCAATAAGACTGAGCAACATGATGCCGGCAGCAGGGTGGAGGACCAGGCAGAAGGGTCAGGCAGGAGGGCAGGGACCCAGGCAGGATGATGGCAACTACACTAGTCAGGCAGGAAATGATGGAGGTTGGGCTGGCACAGGGAGGCTGGGAAGGAGTGGCTAGATCTCAGAGATATGGGCAGGCCGAATGCACAGGGATTTGGGGTCTAAATGGATGGGGAAGGTGGTGTGAGGGGGAGGAGAGAGGAGGTAAGAATGCTGCCCAAGTTGCGTTGTGGGGTTGGTTGTGCCATTGACTTAGGCGATGTGCACAGGTGCATGGACAGGTGCTTGCTGAGAGAAGCAAGACAAGAAGGATGAGCTGGCCAACGCGGATTTTGCAGCGTTGCCAGAAAAGAAACCTAGGCAGACTGTCCCGCTAGGAAGCAGGTCCACGCCCTTGCAGAGAAAAGCTACAGGCCTGGTCTGGGAGGGGCGCCCTGGAAAGGTGTCCCGGAAGCCAAAGGGCCGGGGTTTGGAGAGAATCCGCGAGGACGTCCCTGCAGACGTTGGGGGCCACGACCCCCAGCCCTCGCGACCTGGGGACGGGTCACCCACCTGCTGCCCGTAGCCCAGCGCCTTGTCGTAGAGCGCGATGCCGGCGGCCAGCACCTGTGCCCGCTCCTCCGGGCTGGCGCAGCCCACGTCGAAGCCGTGCGCATAGCCTTGCTCGGCCAGGCAGCGCGCCGCCCGGCGTTGGGGGTCCCCCGGCGCCTCGCGCTCCGCCGCCAGGCCCATGAGGCCAGCCAGCCGCCCGGCGCTCGCCTCCTCCTCTTCCTCCTGGCCCAGCCGCCCGTACACGTGCGCCAGGTTGGCCCAGGCGTTGAGGTTGCCCGGGTCCTCGCGGGCCACCTCGAGGAAGAGCTCGCGGGCCTCGTCCAGTTCGTCCAGGTAGAAGGCGAAGGTGCCTAGGAGGTGGCGCACGGCGGGGCGCTGCGGGGCGGCCGCCAGCTTGAGCTCTTGCCGCAAGCCGTCCCGCTGCAGCTTCAGGTCCCGGGCGCGGAGCGAGGCCGGCGAGCGCGGCTCGAAGTTCAGCTGCATCTCCAGGTGGAAGTGGCCCGGCAGGTAGTCCAGGTCGTCGATGAGGGCGTCCAGGTCCTCGGCCGTGGCCTCTGGCTCCGCCATGGCAGCCCCGCTGCTCCCCGGGCCTCGCCTCTGCCCCGGCGACTGCGGGGGTGGGGGGTGGCGGGACGTAGCTGGGACGCCCTGGATCGAGCCCGGCGCGGAAGGCGAGGTGCAGCGCGCGCGCGCGCGGAAGCCCAGGGTCCCGCCGCCTCCGGGTGCCTGGGCGCCTCCCTTTGGTGGGAGGGTCTGAGCGTCGGCTCCCGGAGCGCCCTGTGGGTGTGTCGGCTTTCGCTGCTCAGCGGCTCTTAAGACGCCCGCATTGCACAACCAGGTGTGCCTGAAAAACAGGTGCATTGCCAAGTGCAGGGCGCGCAAAACACGGTGCATGGCAAAAGGCCTGTTTTGACTCTCTCTGCCCAGCAGACGCAGAAACAGGCTCAGGAGGAAAGGACTAGCCCAGGTCACAGGACGGAAGCTGTGCCCAAGCCTCCCAGAGCCCAGTTGGCTGAACCCCAGCCAGGCCCTTTCTCCGTGGGCACTTCTCCACTCTCTCTGTGTGAGCTCGCTAGTGACTAGGAGGGTGAGGGCTGGTCCTTCCAGCTGCCTGGGGGAAGCCCCCTCATTCTTGCTGCTTCTCCCATCGTCTCCGAAGTTCCTGTGTTCTCCTCCCCCCAAAGGGAGCCTGCCACTTCTCTCTGAGCCTCCTTAGGCCATGATTTATCAGGCTTCCCCACTTAGGATTCCCCTGACTCCTCTCTGTCCTGCAGTTGGCCACTGTGGAAACACTCTGGGGCTCCAGGTGCTGGTTCTAATCCTGGTTCTCCATCCCTAATAACCTCTGACCTTCATAATTATGAACGGCTTCATAATTTCACACTTGCATACTTTCCTCATCTGCGACATGAGGGTCACATTCTCTCCCCCAAGGTAGACATCCAGGGTAAACCTGGTGAATGTCACTCTGGGTACCTATCAGCTCCACTGCTCCCCCTTGGTTCCCACTCTATCCTGTACACCACCTGTGGTCCAGTTTTCTTTCTCTTATCAGTCTTCCCCCAGGACTAGCACTGGTTCCCTGCCCTCGAGAAGGCTAGGCTATGCTCCCAGCTGCAAGGCTGCTAGTCCTCCAGTGCTTGGGCTGTGTAGCAAGTCTGAGCTTCTGAGACTCTCCCACCCCTCATTCCACCTGGGCAGGGCTCCTGAGACGCTGTTCCTTCATCTTCTCAACAAATAGGCCAGGATTTTCAAAAGTGGAAATAGAGCCAATTAGTAAACCTGGAAAAAAAAAATTGACTTGAGCAATAAAAAGGTAAGTTAAAAATATCATTCTGGTGTTAGGTTTCACCTGTGATTTTACAATATAAAATTTAATAATTTTTAATAAAAAATTATTGCTATAAATTCCTAGTGATCATGAGATGACACTTGGGCTCTGACCTTCTTGGGGGCATCAAGGATAGATTCCCAGAGTGCTTGGCTTTTTCCCCCTCTTTTTATTGCGGCAACACATACTTAACATAAAACTGACCACTTGAACCATTTTTAAGTGTATAGTCAGTAGCATTAAGAATATTCCCATTGTTGGGGCGCCTGGGGGGCTCAGTCGGTTAAGCGTCTGCCTTCGGTTTGGGTCATGATCCTGGGGTCCTGGAATCAAGTCCCACATGGGGCTCCCTGCTCGGCAGGGAGCCTGCTTCTCTCTCTCCCTGTGCCCCTCCTCCCTGCTTGTCCCCTCTCTCTCAAATATATAAATAAAATCTTAAAAAAAAGAATATTTCCATTGTTTCATCTCCCCCACAGTGACACTCTGTACCAATTAAACAGTAACGCTCCATTCCTTCCTTCCTCAAGCCACTGGTAACCACCGTTCCACTTTCTGAATTTGAATTTCTCTCTGAATTTGAGTACTTCAATGACCTCATATAAGTAGAATAATATAATATTTGTCCATTTGTGTCTGGCTTATTTCACTTAGCCTAATGGTCCTCAAGGTTCATCCATGTTGTAGCCTGTCAGAACGTCCTTCCTTTTTAAAGGGAATAATATTTCATCATATGTATGTATATACCACATTGTGTTTATCCATTCATCCAAGGTTGTTTGCACCTTGGCCATGGGAAACAATGCTGCCATGGACAAGGGTATACAAATACCTGTTTGAATCCCTGCTTTCAGTTCTTTTTGGCAATACACCCAGAAGTGGAATTGCTTGCTCAGATCAATTCTATGTTTAATTTTTTTGACGAACTCTTATACTGGTTTCCATAAGAGCTATATCATTTTACATGCCCACCAACAGTGCACAAAGGTTCCAAGGTCTCTACATCTTTGCCAACACTTGTTATTTTCTGTTTCGTTTTGTGTTTTGTAATGGCCATCCTAATGGGTGGGTTTGGCTTTTGATCTGCCTCTGAGAAGGCGAGTAGGAATTGGATGGAAGGGGTAGGTTGTGGGTGCATTTCAGCGGCAGGAAGGGCACAGAGAAAGGCCAGAGGTTTGCAGTGCAAGGGGTGCCTAAGGGGCAGGGCAGCGCCATACAGCTGAAATGTACAGAGCATGGGCCAGAGATGGAGGGGATGAGCACTGAAGGCAGCGGGGACAGCACCATCACGGAGGCCTGAATCCCGAGGATCTTGACTTGATTCTGCTGACCTAACTGCTGACTCCACAGTCTGGATGGTTAGAACCTCTTGCAGCCAGGGAGCTCCCACACCTAATGATGAGTCCCATATCCGCCATGTCACCCTACATCTCACTAGATGTGACCAGGGCAAACTACGCTCCCTCTCTGAGCCTTGGTTTTTTCTTCTGTGTAATGGGATGGGAGGGGGTTCCAAGAGAGAATGAGCTGGTTGATAGGATTAGTGCATTGCTATGATGGGGAGGCTTTGGGCTGCCGTGGGTGGGCGGGCTGCCTTGCTGCTGAGCTGACTCACCCCTGCCTGTACCTGCTCTGGCCTGCCTGGCAGCCCGGATTCCCAGCCCAACAGACCTTGGCCTAGACTCTGTGGTCAGTCCTCCACGAGTCCTGGAGCCAAGGGGCTCAGGCCGGGAGCGAAGCTGCAATGCAGCCTCAGGCAGGTTCTAGCCACGCTGACAGACGCGGGGCTGGTCACAGGGCTTCTCCCGTGTACAGGACTTGCTAGTGGACACAACCCCACTTCACGGACACCTCCAAATAGCTCCTCCAAGAGGCAGCAGTCAATGTCCATGTCACAGATGAGGAAATTGAACACTGATCAGGGTCACATACCCAAGGCCGCCAGCTAGAAAGCAGCAGAACCAGGATTCAGACATGACTCTCTTTGAGGATTTCTGCGTCACTGGGAAGTTACTCTAGATTAATTCCTTTATTTGTTCACTCGTCCTTCAACAAATATTTACTAAGCATTGACTGTGTGCCAGGTACAGTACCAGGAGCGGGTGAGACACAGTTTCTGCCTCTGGACCTTTGCTAGGGGCCCTTCCAAGGGCTGGGAATGGCCTCTTATTGAGATTCTGCTATGTGCCAAGAACATACTTAAATTAGCTCCTGCTAATTTAATCCTGCCAGCAGTCTGGAGAGACAGATTATTAGCTTCCTTTTACAGGTAAGAAAGTGGAGAATCAGAAAAGGAAACGAATTGCCCACATCTGCACAACTGGGAAGGGGCAGGGCCTGTGCTTAGATGACCAAGGGTGTATGTCCCCAGGCCTGACATGTTTGCTCCTCAGCTCAGTGGTGCGGGGTGGGCACTGTGCCAGACATGGCCATGTGCCTACCTGGCCTGGGGCCTGAGAGGCCAGCCCACAACTACACTAGGCATCAGGACTTCCTATTTTAGTGCTAAATTGGGATGTCAGAAGGGTACTGGGTGGACCCTGTAAGGAGACACACTGTCCCGGGAGCCCGGCTCCACCATGGACTGCATGTAGGACCCCAGGCAAGTCCTGTTTCTCTCTGGCTTCTGTTCTGTCATCATCAAATGGAGTGTGACTCTCTGCTGTGCCTCAGCCTAAGAACTGGGAGGATCAAAAGTAATCATGAGAGATGATATTAGAAGTAGCATGACCAAGGGGCACTGATCAAGGGATAAAGGAAGAGGAGGGAAGAGAGCTGACAATACCCTGTTGGGGACTCAAGTCCGTTCTTTACCTAGCACTTCATACACACACTTAAAGATGAGTTTGGAATTCTCCTCCTCCAGGAAGCCCTCTATGACCTACCGACAGGCTGGATCAGAGGCCTCCTTCTCGCATAGGCCTGGCCACATTGTGTGGTCACTCTTTCCCCCACTAGACTCTCAAGGCCAAGACCAGGCATCCTATACAGCGTCTGCCCAGAGTGGGCGTCTGGGGTCTGTGGGGAACAGATGAGCCCAGCCTCCACCCCTGCAAGCCTTCCCTCCCTCTCTGCAGCCCTCCACACTCTGGCTCTCCTTGCTGGCTCCCACTTTCTCCTCCTTGCCTCCCCGAAGTGGAGAAGGAACGGGGATGCCCTCTTTGCCCGAGCTGAGCCCTCTCTGTGGGACCCGGGGGTCCCCACGGGCGTTAACTGTACGAGGCATTTCGGAGCCGCGCTCTACCAGGCTCCGCGCCGCGCGCTGGAATACAGCAAGCCATCAGAAAGGGCTCCTCCACAAATGACTCTGAATCGCGACCACATGGCATCCATACTAACCACCGTGAGGGGCCATTAAACCTGCAGGGCTCAGCCGAGGATCTCCGGCAGGGTGGCGGGGGAAATGCGCAGAGCGGAAGCAGAAAGGCAGGGGGCGCCCCGTGGGCACAGCCGCGCACAGATCTCGGGCGAATCACAGGTCACAAGGCGGGGTTGCCACGGCAGCGGTGACCCCCGGCCTCAGCCCGAGGAGTCCCGCGGCGCGAGTCCCGACGACGACCTCGCCTGGGGGCGGTGGGGCCATGGGTACCAAGTGGTTCAGCGGGGCGCCCTTCGGGGTGCAGAGCCACAGGTGGGCCCCCCCCCCCGCCCCGAGGCGCGGCTGGAGCCTGGGGGAGGAGGGAGCGAAGGGAGGGGGCCTGGCAGGGAGAGGGGGCGCCTTTCTCTTCGGGTCACACCTGCCGCACTTCTCGGCCCGGGGTTCGTTCACCATCCTTAAGTGATTGGAAAGCATTTCGAGAGCACCTCCTATAGGTCAGGCGCAGAGAGGCTCGGCGGCCCGGCCGGTGGGAGGTCAGTCCGCGGAAGAGTGGTGGACAGGATTTCAGTCCCGGGTCCTTCATCCGGACATTTACACCGTCTACGCGTACCACCTACTCTGTGCCGGGCACAGTTCTAGCATCTGCGGACCCAACAGTGAACAAACAGCAAAAGCCTGTACTCCGGAGTTTGTAATTCTCTGGGGGAGGGGTGGTTGGAGTAGATAATAAACCAAAAAGAAAAACAGGTAAAATGTTGGGTAGTGATAGGGCTATGGAGAGGAAGCAAGCTGGGAGGAGGAGCTTGGGGGGGGTGGTGTGAGGAGGTGACTTTTGAGTAAAGGCCCCCAGCAGAGGGGAGGGGACCAGGCAAGGGTGGCGTCCAGCGAGAGAGAAGCAGGAAGGACAGAGACCCTGGGGTCCGAGCAGCCCTGCTCCTGTTCCACCGGTCAGCTCCTCTGGGAAGCCAACACCCCCCCCCCCCGGAAGTGCCCACACCAGGACCGGGTGCGGGGCTTCGGGCTCTCACTGGGCCTCTGTCCCTCCCTAGGTTTGATGTCTCTGCTGTTTACCCCAACCAGAAGAAATTCAGCACCTTCACGGAGGCCCCATACTCCCGGCTTCATTCTGTGGACCTGGTGAGTTTGTGCAACTCCCCTGCCATAACCCCCCCCCCCCCCCGTCCCTCGCTGCAGGGAGGAGCTGAGTTGTGCAACAGTTGTGCCTTAACACCTCCCCAAGCCCCCAGTTGGGAGCACAGAGCTTGGCTCAGAGCCGGGGCCTTAGATGTGTTGATAAATGCAGGACTGTGGTGAGGACAGCATGGACTGGGGCCGCAGAGCCCTGGGGGCCCTCTCCTCTCTGAAAGAACTGGCTGTGAGCTACCAACGAGGCGCTACCCCTCCCTGTTGCAAGGGAGTGTAAGGGGATCAATGACGGAGGATGTTGTGATGGTACCTTGAGTGCCCTACCCCTCGGTGCCGGGCTCGGGACTAGGGGTAGGGGCTGCAGTGGGGTCCAGCCTGTCCGCCCCAAGCTCACGGTGGGGGCCTGAGGAGGAAGTCGCTCTGTGGGCAGCCTGGATGGGTGTGACTGTGCTGTGACTCAGTCCCACATAGGACCTGGGACCTACAGCTCCAAGGAGACCTGCTTTAGCAAGAAGAAGCTCAAAAAGGAGGTGGGCACAGGCTGGGCCAGGACCGAGGAAGCCGTCCGGCTGACCCAGCTGCCCCACTTCCAGTACCAGGCCATCATGAAAGAGAAGCAGCTGCAGGTGAGTCCTCCCAGGCCCGGCAGAGCTCCTCCCTTAGGGAATGCCACCACCCTCCAGACTCCTTCCTGGGTGGACATTCCCAAGTTACAGGTTGTCACCCTCTGCTTTCTTCTCTTGGGGCAGAAGGAGAAGCTGGGGCCCGGCTCCTACAACCTCAAAGACTTCTTAGAACTGCTGAAGGAGAAGCCCTGCAGCACCCGGGGGCTGCTCAGCTCGGGGGAGATTCGTTTCCGGGGACTCATTGGGGTAGGTGTCCTCATGTACTGGGGAGGGGCCCTCCCACCCTCCCCTCCATCTGCAGAGCGTGCAGCCTGGCTGGTGCTGGACGCGCCCCTCCTCGTGCCATCTCCTCCCCAGGCTAGCCAAGCTTTCCTCTGGGTCCCCCAAACCCCTCTGCCTTCTGCCTGCCAGTACCACAGCCTCGAGCCCAGGGGCCGTCATATATCCCTGTGCCTGTCTCCCCCACCAGCCCAGGAGACCCATCCCCCACTGGCAGGGATCGGTCTCGTTCATCTCCGAGTCCCCAGAAAAGAGTCCAGCATACATCAGGTGCTCAACAAACGCATCCATCTATATGTCCAGCTGTCTAGCCAGCAAATAATGGCTGAGCGCCCACTAAGTGCCATGCACTGTTCTCGGGCTTAGGGACCGAGCAGTGGTGAAGACAAGGCCCCTCCCCTAATGGAACTGGAGCCCTTGCGGAAGAAACAATGGTACAGAGAAGCAAATCCATTATGATCAGGACTGTGAGGAAAAATGAGACGGGAAAGGGATACAGAGTGATGGAGGAGCAATTCACAGGGTGGTCAGGGAAGACCTCTGGGAGGAGGTGACATTTGAGCAAAACCTGCAGGAGGTGAGCCCTGGAGATTCACGGTAGCTGTGGGAAAGTGTTCTAGGCAGCAGGAACAGCAGGTGCAGGCCCGGAGTTGAACCAGCGGGCAGGAGGCCAGTGTGCTGGAGGGAGGGGCGCGGGCGGAAGGAGGAGAGATGGCAGAGGAGTGAGGACCAGAGGGCAGGACCCTGCAGCAAGGTGGGGGCTTCGGGATTGACTGCAAGCGCTGTAGGAGGACAGTGGAGGGTTTGGGCAGGGGCAAGGCCGGCTCCTGGGGGTAAGGCTTGGAGGCATCCAGATGGGAGGTGTTGGTGTGAGGGGTGGGGTGGCATCCGTGTGGGTGGGGGCGGTCATCCCATGTGGGGAGAACGGGGGGGCGGTTCAGGCTCACTAAGGGCACGAGGGAGAAGGCAGAAGTCACAGCCTCCTGGAGCAGTGCGCACGCTGCGGTTTACTGAGTGTCCCTCGTCCGCGGCCCTGCTGCTCTCTGCACTGGATGCTCTTGGTCTCCTTCCAGCTCCTCAAATGGGCCAAGCTCTTTTAACTGGGGCTTTCTTCCTGCCATTCCCTCTGCCAGAAATGCCCTTCCTCTCCCTCCCCCCTCCCGCCCTCCCCTCGAGCTGACCCTTGGTCAACCCTCAGCTGTCAGCTCCAAGGTCACCTCCTCCACGAAGCCTGCCTGACCCCCACTAGGTGACAGACATCTCCCTTTCCTAGGAGTCCCGATCATGGTTGTGTGTCTAGTGTTTCTGCCCCACCGGACATCAGCCCCTGAGGGTGGACGACATCTGCCTGGTCGGCTCACTGCAGGACCGCCAGGTCTTAGCAGTGCCTGGCACCCAGTGGGCACACAGTATTTGTGGACTGAATAAGTGCACACATGCCTACTAAGTACGTGGTGTCCCCACACATTCTAAGTGTTTGCAAGCACTCCAGGTGAGGCCCTGGAGGCTCAAGAGAGGATAAGCCTTTTGCCTCAGGCAAGCAGGGAATGTCCATCCCCAAAGCCAGGCCCTTTCTCTCCACCTTACCACTGTGAAGCCTGGAAATTACTCTTTGCATCTTCAGGCACAGAAGCTCTCCCTGCAGGTAGGGAGAAGGGTTGACCAAGGCATTTCAAACTGAGTCATTACCTTCAAATCTAAAGTAGTAACAATTGACGCTTGAGGCAGCGCTTGCCCTGTGCCGGGTGCTGTCCTAAGCACTTGAGTGCACCGATCAACCTAATCCTCCCAACGACCCTGTGAAGTAGGCACTGTCATTATCCCTGCTTTACAGCTGAGAAAACAAGCACAGAGAGCTTAAGCAACTGCCCAGGGTCACAGAGCTATGAGTTGCACAAGCGGGAGGGTTTGGATCCAAGGGCGCCCACACGTAAGCACTGCATTGTACACATAGGTGGGCTCACTGGGATTTTGTTCCTTGATGGCCCCTGGAGGACAGTCTGGATCGGAACCCAGCCCAGGTGGTGGCAGAGGAACAAGCCTTGATGCTTCCTTCCCGTGTCCCCAGCACCCAGCACCCAGCCCCGGGGCATCTGTGAGTGTTCGCTGAGTAGGGAGAAAGGTCCCACGACCTGCCCTCCCTTCCAGCTGGCTCTTCTCCCACTTTGTCCCCCTATCTACTCCTGCAGTAACCTCCCTCGGGCCCTGCGGGATTTCTCCGAGCCGCTCTCCTGGGCTCAGGGCTGGACTGCAAGCTCAAGGAGGTGGCCCTGCCCCGGTGGGTGGAGAAAGCAATCCCCGGGGAGCTCATGTCCAAGGCCTATTTTCTGTCTTCTTGCTGTGAGACCTGGGCTGGGAGCCTGATGGCCTCCTCTGGGCTACAGAATGCCACCTGTGCAGAGTGCTGACCCTTCCACTGGTCCAGCTTAAAAAAAAAAAAAAAAAATCTGTGCCAATTCCTACATTCCCACACACCTCCCCCAGAATTAATCACTCCTGCCTGGATCCCCAAAGCGCTGACAGCCGAACATTCCAGTTAAGATCACGGACTTTCAGGGCGCCTGGGTGGCTCAGTCGTTAAGCGTCTGTCTTTGGCTCAGGTCATGATCCCAAGGGTCCTGGGATCGAGCCCTGCATCGGGCTCCCTGCTCGGTGGGAAGCTTGCTTCTCCCTCTCCCTCTGCCTCTCCCCCTCCCCCTGCTTGTGCTCTCTCTCTCTCCCCCCTCTCTGTCAAATAAATAAATAAAATCTTAAAAAAAAAAAAAAGAAAAAATCACGGACTTTCACATGAGCCCAGGTGTGGGCTCCACCTTTAAAACTGAAGGGTTGAAGGAAGAGCTGAGCCCAGAGCTCTGGGCTCGGCACAGTCCATGGACTCCAGGCACAGCGGTCACTCTGTGTTGTAACCGCACTTCTTTTTTTAAAAAGATCTTTATTTATTTGAGAGAGAGAGACAGCGCAGGGACCCAGCCTCCTCCCTGGGGCTCTTCTCCTGAGCACACCTGGAAACCCCGGGCCCTGGAAGAAGGCAACGTGGCATCCTGTCCTCTGAGGGCAAATAGATCTGATGCCATAGTGGCCCGGCTCCCCCAGGAGGGCTCCCTGCCCCCTCCATCCTGCCCTGTAGGGCTGCTTCCCTAGGGCTGGTTCCTGCCGGAGATGAGCAGGGCTGAGCCATCTGTGGGGCGGCAGCGGCCTCGTGTGGCTGAGAGATGCAGTGCAGCAGCTAACTTGCTCCAGGTCTCTATCCGAGGACTACCTCCCCACACCAACCCACCCACCCCCCTCACTCCACCTACAGAGACCATACTTCCAACCCTGGCAGTGGAACCCCCAAATACTCCATCTCTCCTACCCCCTCAATCTCTCCTCCTGACCCCCAAGACAGGCATCCCACCCTGACTTAAGAGTTGGTGCCCAGTATGGGCTGAGCACTACGCAGGAGGTTTTATGGACATTATTTAATTTTCTCCTCATTACCTTGGAAGGAAAGTATTACTATCTCCATGTTACAGTTGTGGGCCATGAGGCTTAGAAGGACTAAGTGGTATGCCCAAGGTCACTCAGCTACGCAGCAGCAGAGCCAGGATTCAAACCCAGGACTCCAGATCCTTCCAGGTCACAGCATGTTTGTAGCACAGTCAGAACTCTATTCATGCAAATGCAGGGCTATAAAATGGGTGTAACAGATGGCATTTTTAAGACCACCAAAGCCAGTGACTGTCTGGTGATAGGGAAGGAAGGCTTCATTCCCAGGAGAGATGACATTTGTGCTTGGCTTTGCAGAATTAGACTTTTTTTTTTTTAAAGATTTATTTATTGGGGGGGGCACCTGTGCACACACCTGTGAGGGGGGAAGGGGCAGAGGGAGTGGGAGAGGGGAAGCAGGCTCCCTGCTGAGCGAGGAGCCCTGCCCGGGGCTCCATCTCCCAACCAGGAGATCATAACCTGAGCCAAAATCAGGAGTTGGATGCTCAACCGACTGAGTCTCACCCAGGTGCCCCAGAATTAGCATTTTCCAAGGCAAAGAAGGCAGGTAGGGCATTTTGGGTGGTGTTAACAGCACAATCAAACACAGACAAGGAGGTTGGCAGAATGGTACATATTGGGCGACAGGCAAGGAACCCAGTTTGGCTGGAGGGTGGGATGTAGGAAGGGAGTAGTATGAAATAAGTTGGACAGGCCAGTGGGGCCCCAGGGAAGAGTCTGATGTGGGACTGAAGGTTTGAGCAATGGTGGAGCTGTGTTGAGACCAACCATGTTGTGTGTTGGGGGTCAGTTAACAGGGGCCCTGAATATCCCATTCCCCTCCTAGGGGCTTCTCTTCCTCAGACACTCTGCGCATAAGGAGAGGGACTGATGACCTTTATGTCCCTCCCCGCCCCCCACAGAACTACTATCCAGGCCCTGGAAATTATGGGGTGAAGGGCAACCCATACACAAAGCTGGAGGAGAAAGCCTGCAGCCGCTTTCATTCTGAGGGCCTCATGTGTCGGGTGACCAACAAGGTGCCCCCCACGGCTCATCAGGTACTCCCTCACCTGGCTGGGGCTTGCCTGCCTTCCTGCACCGTCCTGGGGCAGCTGGGGTGGGGGACTCCCAGGGCAGATGGGGAAACTGAGCCCCCCCGTGGGGGGGCGATGGGCCTGCTTCAGCAGTTCTCCTGGGGGACTGTCATCTGTGTTCTGTTCTAGGGGAGTGGTCTGGCACCAGACACCTACTCTTTCAAAAGTGGCATTGAGGCATACCTGGCAAAATCCATGGGCACCCGCGGCTTTTACGACACGTTCTCTGGTGACCGCAGCAAACCCCAGCCTTACGGACATTACTCGGTGCAGGTGTGTACCCAGGCGAGGCGTGGAGCATGCGTTCCCCAGCAGGATGGCCGGCCTCACTCCCCGACACCGGGCCACCACCAGCCCTTGTGCTCACCACCCTCGCGGCCGCGGTGGGACATAGCTCCCTGTGTTGGATGAGGAAGTGGGGTGGCCGCACCGCTGGGAAGGAGCAGAGCTGGGATCTGAACGCCAGCACATCTGTCTGACTTCACCTGCCTGAACCACAGAAGAGGCACAGAGCGGCACAATGCCAGGGCTGCTTGCGGCACCGGCCACGGGGCCACAGGGCCCTTGACGGCGCCCGTGTGGGTGCCCGGCTATTTTGGAAGCACCGGCCAGGGGTCATAGGCCCAGCTCACTGGCCACATTAGCAGCAGTGCTATTAACGAGCCAGAGACCTGGAGGGCTGGGAGGAGAGGGAAACCCGAAGTAGAATTTTAACTCGCTGCCCCCCTTTCCTGCCCCCGTCATGCTCCTGTCATGTGGTCCGTGGCATGCTGGAGTTAGGTCTCTGCCCCATGGCCTGCTCGTTTTGTCTCCACCGTGCATTCCCTCGCTGTGTAGCTTGGGGCCAGGTCAGAGTCGCAAGTATGACCGCCCCTGTGGCGCTTCTGCTCCCCTGGCAAAGGACACACAGTCATGAGTAAACACCCCACAGAGTGTCGGCAGGTGGTGAGGACAGGCTGCTGGTGATGAAATGTTGACATACTTCCCCCGTTCGGTGACTCGCCGCGAAATAAGCCCTCGCACCTGACTCCTCGGCAGGGCCTCCCAGACGCCCCCACGACCAGCTACTGACGTGATCCTGTCCAGCATAGCCGGGGCTGTGGGAGATAATATTTTTTATTATCTAAAGAATAATAGACTTTAATTTTTGGAGCATTTTTAGGTGCACAGCACACTTGAGCAGAAAGCCCAGCGTTCCTATGCCTCCTCAGTGACCCCTCCAGGCCCGGCCTCCCCCACTGGCCACACCCCACCCCAGAGTGACAGACAAGGTACAATATACTGACATCATTGTCACCTGAAGTCCACAGTCCACCTGAGGATTCACTCTTGGGATTGTGTCTTCTACAGGTTTGGACAAACGTGTCCATCATTATGGTATCCTACAGAGTAGATCACAGCTCTAAAAATCCTGTGTGTTACCCCATCACGCCGGTTTTTAGATATTTGGACTACTGCTCCTGCTGAGAACAGGGCGCATGCCGTAAATGCCGTTGAAATGAGCACAAAAATGAAGGACGTGCAAACAGACGCCGGTTACGTTGTCTGGGGTGCTCGGATGTGGAGGCTTCGAGAGACGCTGTGAGACTCACTCGGCCTCTGGCCGGGGCTGCGTCTCTGGCCACCCAGCCTGGGGTCCTGCGGAGGCAGGCTGGAGAGTGATGCCTCCTTGTGTGGCCACCTGCTTTTCTCTGCTCCTGAGGGTCCAGAGAGAGGGCTCGGATTTTCCTGGCCTAACAGACACCTTTTTCTTTTTCTTTCTGTTTCTCAGAAAAAAAAGCCCAGGGAACTGATGAATTTTACGAGCTTCGTGGAAGAACTTAACTCACGTCACAATAAGAAGCGTGGGGTTTTTTCGAAAATTTCTCGCAACCCGGAAACCCCTACAGAAAGGATTTACTGGGCCACCCTTAGCCAGTGCCCCCGAAAACTAGTCAGTGCCCACCCCCTTGACCTTCCTTTCTTCTTCTCTTGGGAGGGGGCTCTCTTTGGGGCCGACATGGGATGGGGCTGGCTATTTCAGGGGAAAGCTCAGCCTTGGGTATCAGACCCATGGATTCCATTCCTGGTCTTGCCTGTCTTGTCACTCTGAGTAAGTTCCTCCCACTCTCTGAGGCTCAGTTTACTCGTTTATCCTCTGAGCATAACCAGGTGCCTTGAGAGTTAGAGGTGAAGGAGTGGAGCTGGAGCGTGGGGCCTGGAACCCACCAAGTGCCCATCTCTCTCCCGGAGAGAGGCTGAGGGAACATGGGTCAGGGCAGAATGTGAATATGGGGTCTACCCCGACAGGGGACTGCCCACCTGCTCCCTCCAAGGGAGCAGACCACTCCTCTCTGGGGGTGGGGCAGCTGGTGACCTGGATAGACCCCCAGGGCAGGACCTGCCCCCCAGGGAGAAATCCTCAGGGCTTGGGAAAGAGTAGGGTCCAGAGGAATGAAAAAGGGTGCCACCATTTCCTGAATGCCTGCTCTGGGCCAGGCACCTTCCAGCACCCCAAAGTAGGAGTTATCATTTGCATTTCACAAAAGGAAACTGAGGCCCAGAAATGGGAAGGGATTTGTCCAGGCTACCCCAGCAAGTCTGAGAAGGAAGCCAGTTCATCTAGCTCCAAAGTCTGTGTGGCTTTCATTTTCCGTTGTAAATGTCTCTGTGGCCCTGCCAGGCCGTGTGGGCTCTTGGGAACCCTGAAAGAGGTGTCAGGCTGATGGGTGGGGTTAGAGTGGGTGGCATGGGTTATGAGGGCAACACAGGGCCCCTTTACCCCCGGAGGACGGGCTCCTGGTGGCTGGGTAGCCCCCCACCCCCTGTTTTTGGCTCAAGGCCTAAGGCTGCCAGGTGGATGAGGTCAGCCACCAGGAGCCCTCACCTGCCCCGGTCCCAGGCTGACCACCGCCAGACCTCTCTCGCTTTCAGCCTTCATTTCTTACCCCTAGGCCACGTCTGGTCCCGGTTCATGGCTTCCTCCAAAGAAGGAATGCAAACACGTCAACCAGCCACCGTTCCTGCTGTCTTCCAAGTGGATGGGCATAAAGGCCTACCAGATGATTTTGGGAAGCTGGGTGAGTGGGTCTGGGGTGGGAGTTACGTGGTGATGGGCAGGGAACCCTCTCCTGCCTCTACAGGCAGCCCCAAGCCCTCCTTGCCCCTGGGAATTGAGGCTCTGTGAGAGCCTGAACCCACTTCTTTCTCCCCAAGGGACAAACACTGATTCCCACTATCTTATTTCTCTAAGGCAATGGTTTCCAAACTTGAGTGGGCGTTAGCATCCCCTTGGAGGGCTTGTTAAAACAGATTGCTGGGCGCCATGCCAGAGTGTCTGATTTGGTAGCCTGTAGTGGAGCCTGGGTATCTGCATTTCTAACACGTTCCCAGGTGATGCTGCTGCCGCCGCTGCTCTGGGAAACACATTTTGAGAACCACTGCCCTAAAGGACATCACCCCAGAACCATCTCCTTCTCTTACTTTCCCAGAGGAATGCTCCCTCCTTTCTCTTTGTATTTGTCTTGGGGCCTCTGCGACAGCTAGTGGAGTTGGCCCCCTTCTCATCCTTGGTTGAGCGAGGACCCCTTCTGTCACCCTCCCCCTGCCCCTTCCCAGAGGCAGCCATCCCCACGTGTGCAATATAACTTTCCGTTAGTGTTCTTGTAAAACAGCTAAGCTCTTGGGTTACGTGTGCGTGCCTTCTTAATTTACACAAATGGCATTGGGCATCGACCTCAGTCTGTTTCCTCTCCTGCCCTTTAGTCTTTAAGTGCACCTTTTATTGGGTTTGAATAGTCACCCAGAGAGGTGCGTGAATCCTAACAGCTCCGTGAATGGCCACAGGTCGGACTCATCCATGCAACCAGCCCCAGAGCGCTGAAGAGCACATTTCCGGCACCCCAGGACCCCCACAACACACACCTCCCTCCCCATCAGGTAGCCTCATCTTGACTTCCAGTAGCGTGGCTTAGTTTTGCCTGGCTTTGAACAACTGTTTATTTTTTTTAGGTCCCTCTTGGTTTCCCCGGGGACCGTCCTGCTTGTAACTCACCTGCCTTCCCATGATGCTCCTGCTGCCTCCTCTCGCACCCCTACACCTGCCTTCCCATGATGCTCCCGCCGCCTCCTCTCGCACCCCTCCTCCACCCCACCTGCCCACCTTCCGGAGTGATGGCTTGGCCCCCGCTGTGCCCACACCCTGTTGCCCTGCCTGATTCTCAGGAGGACCAGCTGGTCAGCTCTCTGCAAGCTTCTTTCTCTCACCCCACGCCGGCACCTCCTGCAGGGTAGAGGGTCTTCACGTGGGGACCCCAAATAAGAGCCAGATGCTGCTACCACAGGGCTGGCCACTCCAGAGCGGGAGGGGCTGAGGTGAGGTCCAGGTTCCAGGGCAGGCGGCGCACCACCGGGAGCTTGCTCCCCAGTGTGACAGGCCTTTCCCTTGTGGGCAGCATATTGGACCTGTCAGGCCCCTGACATCTCCCTGCCTTGCCATTGGCACGGCGGCTCCACAGGTGCTGGGGTTCCTGGCCCACCACTCTCCCACCCTCACTGGTCACTCTGGGCAGGTGGCTTCTCTCTGAACGTCTCTGTTGGTGCCTTTTGTATCTACGACCCAGGTCTCTGGGTGGGATGGAGTATAACTTCCTACGACCGCCCTGCCACAGTTCCTCAAACTAGGTGGCTTCAGTCTATCCCCTCCCACTGTTCTGGAGGCTGGGCTGCTCCCTTTGAAACCAGCAGGGGGAATCCTTCCTGGCCTCTTTCCAGCTTGGGGTGGTGGCCGGCGAGGTTTGAATTCCTTGGCATGTAGATGCGTCACTCCAGTCTGCCTCTGTCATTGTCATCCTTGTCTCAGGGCTGTCTTTCCCCCGTGTGTCTCTTCTGTGAGGACACCCGTCTCATTGGATTAAGGGCCCAGCCTACTTAAGTTATGACCTCATCTTAACCAATTATCTCAGCAACTGTTCCCAAATGAGGTCACACGCTGAGGTACTAGGGGTTAGGACTTCTGCACATCTCTTTGGAAGACACAATTCAAACCATAACAGGTGGAATAGGGAGCGGGGGCGGGGGAGGGGGTGCGGGGCTGAGTTCACGTCTCCAGGCCAGGCCTCTGGCTTGCTAATGTCCTGCCCATCCTCTTCCTGGTGCAGAATCCCGTAGGGGTGGGCCGCTACCTCAACACCTGGCTGGCAGAGACCAAGGACCATCGACAGCGATATCGGTCCCTGTTCCTGGGTGGATCCAAGCGCTACCCCTCAGACCCGGCCAGGGACAGGCTCATGCAGTGAGTGCTCCTGGAGCCCTGGCAGAGGGCAAGGACTTACTCTGGGGCGGGGTGGGGTTCCCTCTCCCACCACCACCTTGTGCTCCCTTCCCATGAGAACACAGCTATACGGCCCCTAGGGCCAGCCCAACAACAAGGCAGCAGGGAGAGTTCAGATCCTGGCCGTGCTGCTTACTGGCTGCGTGAGGTGGGGCGTGTCCCATAACCTCTCTGAGCCTCCTTTCCTCAACTGTCAGCTGAGCAGAAGACTGTGGAGCCCCAAATGAGAGGCTCTGTCTAAAGCTCCTGGTAAGGAAAAGGGACTCAACATCTAGGTGCTATCTTGGGTGGCTTCCCCATGCAGAACCTCAGTTTCTTGGTGTTCATGATGGGGTTGGTAAAACAGGTTTCAGGAAGCCATTTTGAAGCCTAAGGAGAAAAGGTGCATGAAATGCCATGGCTAACTACAGAGCAGCTTGCAAATGCTAGCTGCTGCCGTATTTTATTGACCTAAGAGGCCATCAGTTGCAATGTAATCTCAATTTCAAAAATGTTAAAATGCGAATACACATGCATTCCAGATCATTTTCTTGTTGGAAACTCTGGTGAGGGCCTGAGGACCGGATTGCTGAGGGAAAGCCAACTTTTAAATGCTTATTTTTAGCAAGATAATCCTTTTTTGTCTTCTTCCTTGATTTATGCCCTTGTTTTGGGGGGCTTTTTAAGAAAAGGTAATGGAAAGTAACATTTTTGATAGACTGCACGCCTGAAAAAAAATGTGTTTTCCCTACCTGCACAACTGATAAACAGTTGGATTGGAAATAAGATTTTAGGTTGGAACTATTTTTCCCTAGGAATTTTGAGGACTTTGCTCCATTGCCTTTGAGCTTCAAGCAGAGCTGAGAATTCCTATGCCATTCTGGTTTTCTGTCCTTTGTACGCAATCAGCATCTTCCTCTCTAGAAGCTTTCAGGATCTTCTGTCTTTTGTGTGCTGAAATTTCATGATGAAATTTAGTCTTAAATAGTCCTAGCGTGAGTCTGTTTTCACCCATAGTTTTGGGTATTCAGTGGGTTCCTTCCATCTGGGACAATTTTTGGGAAAATCACTCGCATTGTGTCTTTGGTGATTTCCTCCCCTCTGCTTTCTCTCCCCTCTCTTAGATGAAGGTTAGAGATCCTGCTCTGATGCTCTAGCTTTCTTACCTTGTTTTTTTCTTATTTCCCATCTCTGCCTTTTCCATCCTACCCTTTGGTAAATTTTCTTGTCCTTATCTTTGAACCTTTCTATTGCCTTTTGAAACTTAGGCTCCATCTTTTATAGTTTGCAAGAGCTCTTGAGTGTTGTAGATTGCTTTCTTTTCTTTTCTTTTCCTAGCCCCCGGTTCAGTGTCTTGTATGCCATATGTTCTTTTATCTGAAGATAACAATGACAATTTCCCTCAGTTTCCTTTTGCTCCCTGCATGGCCTGCGCTTCTTCCAAGTTCCTTATTTCTTTGACTTGTATTGTTGGTGTTTAAGAGGAAAGCACTAAACAATGCTGTGAGTCCGGGTGGGGCTTGTCAGTTGGTGGCTTCACAGGGAGTGATTAGATGATGGGGGTCTGGTCATTCTTTCGGAGGACCCCCAATGTCAGTGTTTCTAGGTGCTTTCTGTGGGACCATTCAGCTTCTCTAGAAAAGGATCCTACGTCCTGGGGTGGGTAAATGTGGTTGCTGGTATTTAGGGGATCTCAAGCAGTGTATGAATTTCCACCTACTTCCTCTGTTCTGAAGAGAGTGCCTGTCTGCCTGCCTTCCACTGTGCCCAGCCTCCCTGCTCTGGAGCCACTCTGCATACTAAACCTCCAGTCTTCTGCCAGGTGCGCGAGGAGTGGTGTGTGTGTGTGTGTGTGTGTGTGTGTGTGTGTGTGTGTGTGTGTGTCTAACTTTCCCTCTGTTTTCAGCCATTGGTCTTGCACCTGCTTTTTGGTGCCTCCAATTCCTGGGTCTCTCTGGGGTTGTGGTAGGAACTGGACAGTTTCTCACTGGCTCCCCCTATTGCAAGCAGCTTGCTCCATTTCCCCAAATAACATGTTACACCCCTTGTCCCCTGATATTGGCCTCTCCCTTTCTCGTTTGTCTAGCTTCAAAATATTCCTTTCTAGTCCTTTTAGAAGATTGCAGGAGTAGAGAGAGTAGAGATAAATGCATGTATTCATCTGCCTTGTTTAATTGAAAATCAGATGGAACACTCTGAGTGTGCCAAAGCATTTTCTTCCTCTTTCTAGCCAAGGTGGTTGGGTTTATTTTATGGGTGTTCAACCAGGACTAGAGAGGGAAACAACTTAACCAAGGTCACACAGCTAGTGAATTATAGAGCTGGGACTTGTATCTGACATTTCTCTCCAGGGCAGGGCCCTTCCCATCACACATGGCCATGTGAGGATTTGGGCATTCCTGCAGGGCCATTCCTCCCCAGCCACCCTGTCAGCAAAGCTCCATTCTATATACTCTTTGCTCAGCAAAGGCCTGCAGGGAAAGGAAGGATGCCCCATCTCCAGTAGACCCTCAGCTTTCTCCCCTGAACATCTGCCTTCCCTTCGGGTCCCAACTTCCCCTTCACCACTGTAATCACATCCAAGACTCAGGCTTATGAAGTTATAGGACTTCCTTTGTAGCCCGGTTTAGAATTCTGTCTGCTACTTAGCTGTGTGACCTAGGACACGTTACTTGGAGACAGACTTTGCTCTAAAAAATGAGAGTGAACAAAACAACCCAACTTTTGTAGAGTCTGCTTTGAGGACTGAAGGAGATGATGCTTGTAAATGTGCTCTGCCTATGGATGCTGTTAGGCAGGTATGTTGCAAGTGCTAGCATCCTTGTCCCTTAGCAGCTGCTATGCCCTGGCGGAATTCTATGTTTTAGTTAGATAAGGGGTAAGTTCTTTACAGAGGCTTCGAGTGCACATCATCCAGGAAAAGAAATGACAGCAGTTTAACTCACCCTCTGCTGTCAAAAACCTAAGGAAAAAATATCTATTAAGAAGGAAATTTGATAGGGATGGGGGAGAAATAGGAGGGCATTTGAGTCCTGAGGGAGGGTGGGGGCTTTTAAAGAGGAGGCCAAACTATTAAATACAATAGCAAAATGCTAAAGCCTTCTCATGAAGTCAAGAACAAGATAGGGATGCTTGTGTCATCGGCATTATCCAACATTGTTGTGGAGTTTCCAGCAAATGCAGTAAGACAAGAAAAACAGATAGGAAATAAAAATCTTGAGGAAGAGCAAATCATCACAATTTATAATGTGTTTACCTAAAATAGTCCAAGAGAGAAGAGTTTCCTCTGATACTGCAGCCATAGCTAATAGAAAACATAATTGAGGAAAAGGAAAGGATCTCATTCTTAGTAGCAACACCAATGATAAAATGCATTGGGATAAATTTAATAAGTATAGTTAAGGCATACATGAAGAAAAATATAAATCTTTACTAAAAGATGTCAGAGAAGGCTTGACTAACCGGAGGGAATACCATGTTCATGGATGGAAAGATTCGATATTGGAACAGTAATTCTCCCCATTGATGTACATATTTAATGCCATTTTAGCAAATTTCAAGGGGCTGGTTACATTTATTATAAACTTCATCTGAAAGAATAAATATATATGAATATTAAAAATAGAAGAATAATGATCATATTAAAATACATTTCCATATGCATAGACAACACATTCTGGAGAACTAGGCCCCAAACTGTTGCTCATGGTTACCTCTGGAGGGTTACCAGGGGCTTTTGCATTCTACTTTGTTTTGTTTCTGAGATGTTTAGATTTTTCAAAATAATCATGTAACATTTTTATAATCAGAAAAAAATAAGGCAAATAGAGGACAAGCACTCTTGAGACAGACTATACAAATTGTATGTTCTCCATTTAGATGCCTCTCTAGCCGAGAGTCACCCTTTGTTCTTCAGACCTTAGTTTTCCCACCTGTAAAATGGGAATGATTTATACCCTACAGGGACATGGTCAGGTTTAATTAAGCCCTATGAATACTACTGAATGGAAGTCGACCAGCAGATCCCTGTGGGTGTCTAATTGTTGGGCTGGTGCATGATTCTCCCTGGGGCTCTGTTTTGGCATTGTCCATGTAACCCTGACCCACTTGGGCTCTTTCTTGGGTCAGGAGGACTGTGTCACAAGGCACAGCAGGTAAAAAGGATTCCCTGATAAACTCTTTCTCTTTTTTTTTAATTTTTTAAAATTTTATTATGTTATGTTAGTTACCATACAATACATCATTAGTTTTTGATGTGGTGATCCATGATCCATTGTTTTCGTATAACACCCAGTATTTCACTGATTCGTTTGAAAAGCCTGCTCTGTGCTTGGTTCCATCCTGGGTACGACTGAGCTGCTGATTGTTTCCAGGTGACCAGAAATGTTCTCTCTTTCACTCACTGAGTTTTTCATTTTCTGACTTCATATTTGACTTTCTAATTTCTCTTTTTTATTTTCTAAATGTTTTAGTAACACCATTCTCTTATTTCATGGATGCAGTATTTGCTCATACTTTGAAGATATTATTAAGACAAGTTTGCCTGACATTGTCTCCTTTTACCAAATCCTTTTTTCCTCCCTGTATATTTGTTTTGGCCTCAATATTCCGTATCGGAGGTTTTTCTCAAATGTCTGGTATTTCTTGGCTGTGCATTCATGTCTAACTGAAAATCCTACTGAAAGCTCTGGGGCACTGTTTGATTATGGACTTCACCATAGGATGTCCAAGCTGGGTATTTTCACTGTTTTCAATGTCAGTGTTGTGAGATGTTTTGTCTTTTACTCTGATGTGAGAAAACTCTTCTGGGGGTTCTAAGCTTGGCTGCCAGAGCTCTAAGTAGAGGGGAAGAGCCTAGAGGTCTCAATATTTAGGGATTGAACTTCCATTTGATTCCATTTTAAATATGGTACTCATGAGATCACCTGTGCCTGGTGTCATACTGTACAGAGAACCTCTCTATCCCCAGAGAATAAATTCTC